GTGACGGTGAGGGTGATGCCATAGGGGAAGTAGGCGTCGGAGCGATCCGGTGGGCTCAGGTCATAGCAGACGGTACGGTTCCTCTGGGTGCCGGTGGAAGCGAAGACGAAGGTGGGCAGGCACTGGGCAATGACGATGAACCACACCGCGGCGCACACCAGCCATGTCAGCTTCTTCCCCTTCTTCTTGTGCCATGAGGCCAAGGGGTGACAGATGCCCAGGTACCGCTGGACGCTGATGCAGGTGAGGAAGAGGATGCTGCCGTGTAGGTTGGTGTAGAACTGGAAGCGAACAAATTTGCAGGTGAAGTCTCCAAAAGGCCAATAATCCTTTTGGGCGTAGTTGTAGATGAGGAGCGGGAGGGAGCAGACGTAGAGCAGGTCAGCCATGGCCAGGTTCAGCATGTAGATCATGGAGCGGCTGAGCACCTTACGGGCCACCCAGATCTGCCCAATGACCACAGCGTTCAATGGTAACCCCACCATGAACACCACCGAGTAGACCAGGGGCAGCAGGACCTGCTTGAACTCCTCGTGGAAGGTGCACGAGTTTGTCCCAGCACCCATGGGGGCTGACAAGTTGGCCATGGCAGTGGGACCCACTGCCGATGTCCTTTCTGCTGGTGTGGTCCCTCAGCAGCACCTGCGAATGACAAAGGGGACAGTTGGTGACTTGAGTTCATGGTGTCTCACATCCACCCTAGCAGGATGAACCTGGGCTGGTGTGTAAGACCCCATAGCCCCATCCTTCTGGGTTGGGGCAACCCTTGCTATTGATACTGGCTGGGGGGATGAAGGGATGGAGAGCAGCCCTGAGGAGAAGGACTTGGGGGTGTTGGGTGATGAGAAGCTCACCATGAGCCGGCACCGTGCACTGGCAGCCCAGAAAGCCAACCGTGTCCTGGGCTGCATCCAGAGCAGCGTGGGCAGCAGGGCGAGGGAGGGGATTCTGCCCCTCTGCTCTGCTCTCCTGAGACCCCCCTGCAGTGCTGCCTTCAGCTCTGGGGTCCCCAGCACAAGAAGGACATGGAGCTGCTGGAGCGGGGCCAGAGGAGGCCATGGAGATGATGCGAGGGCTGGAGCACCTCTGCTCTGGAGACAGGCTGGGAGAGTTGGGGCTGTTCAGCCTGGAGAAGAGAAGGCTCCGGGGAGACCTTCCAGCACCTCCCAGTGCCTAAAGGGGCTACAGGAAAGCTGGAGAGGGGCTTTGGACAAGGGTGTGTAGTGACAGGACACGGGGCGATGGCTTTAAACTGGAAGAGGGGAGATTTCGATGGGATCTAAGGAAGAAATTCTTCCCTCTGAGGGTGGTGAGGCACTGGCACAGGTTGCCCAGAGAAGCTGTGGCTGCCCCATCCCTGGAAACATTCAAGGTAGGTTGGATGAGGCATTGAGCAACCTGGTGTAGTGGAAGATGTCCCTGCTCATTGCAAGGTGGGGTGGACTAGATGACCTTTAAAGGTCCCACTGAAACTATTCTGTGATTCTACAGTTCCAAACCACGATGATGGATTTAGGGGTCCACCAGGAAGATGAAGGTGGCGAGAACGGGACCGTGTGGGGTGGTGGCACACGGGCCAGCGTGGTGGCCACGATCACCACCATCTCAGCTCCTCTTCCCCTGACACTTGCACCCTGCAGAAAAGTTTGCACAAGGCCGAATCGCCCTCATCCTGGCGTGGGAGAGGAAATTGCAGCCCGGAGTGCCGTTAGCCGCCGGCACCGCTCCTCTGCAGGGGGTGCCAAAACCCTACGGCCAGTCACCCGAGCGGGCTCCGGCCCCCGAGTTTCAGAAGATGCCACCTGCACCCAGCCCAGCATGACCCACAGATGTTTCGTGGTTACTTTCATCCAAGAATTGGGACTAGCGACGCTCCGGCTGTGGAGGTTTTTGGTTTCGTGGGCTGGAAGCCCATCCACGTGGCCTCTGGGCTGCTCCGAGCTGGGCAAGAAACCATCTGCTTTTCTTAGAGGCTGCGACTAGCGCGAAAGACCTGATCTTAGAGCACAAAGAGACCCCCCCCGACCCCGACCGTGTCACTCCGCTGGACCCCTCTCCGTGCCACCCATGGGTGCTACACGCTTCCGGG